GATTTACATAATCACAGCTTGTAGCATAACAAAGTAGTAATTGATTCCAATGTAATTAATGTCGATGTGAAATTATGAAAATTCACAGACAGTTTTGACTGGTAAACATAATACGTAAGCTAAATTATACCACTTCTATTTTACAAGTATTATTTCATTGAGTGAAATTGAGTGGGACGAGCCATTTTGTTCCGCTAAAGCAAGATATCAGACCGATCGACAAAATCTCTTGTTGTCAGTTATTGTAACGCCTAAGAATCAATAATCGGAGACCTTCAGTGCCAGAGCTTTAATATTTAATCAATAAGTTTCGCAATATAGTTAAATAAAGAATTGTTAATCCTTATTTAATCTTTTATTCAGAAGTGATTTCAATCAACAACAGTATATACTAAATCAAAGGTAAACAATACTTTTATTATTAGAAATAGTAATAGCAAGCTTTATAATGTGAGAGAAAAAGTTATTCGCTGTTAGCATACAGATGTATGTAAGTAAGCTGGAGAATACTGAAAACAAAATTTTCATGCACATTTATACCGAAACGATCGTTGTAATCACTTCAATGAATAGTATATATTTCGAATGACGTTCTCTACAAATAACTCCATGGTCATTTGATAAGAGAAAACTATTTGAAGCTAAATCATTCAAACAATAAATAACAGATGTTATGAATAGACTGATGGATATTTGGAGAACTGTCTACAGATATATATATATATATATATATATATATATCAGTTCAGTTTATCGTATTGCACACGGCTGAATTACTCAGAACAGGATTTCTATGTACCAGGTTAAGAGCCGCACTTATCGTATGACGGCTGATGATACTAGCCAGCTGCGGAACTTGAATCTGTGAACATCGGCTGAAAACCGTGCTTAAGCCGAGGAGCTGCTTTTCCACACAATACACACAAGTACAACTTTAAAAAAGAAGTGGTCAGAAGTGTAACGACAAACCAATGAGCAAATATGTACGGAAGTGTGAATAGTTTTGTAAAACGTTGTCAGTAGTATAATATGAGACATACACATATACTACAGTAATAAAAGTGAAATATTAAGTTCACTTAATGGATCCATTATTTAGTTTATTTATTCATATCTCAAGCTGTTAAATGGTAAAAACAGACACTCTGAATTCTGAGAAAAATATTATTTCGAGTTTGGTGATCAGGAATGGTATCCAGGATGCGCATTTCGTCCCATTTGTAACTGGTCAGATGGATATACCTGTTATCCATTAGGCGAGTGTTGTTCCCCGTAACCACATGAGCCACGACAGCCACCTCTTGTGCAATCATTACCAGTTATTATTGGTTTAAGTTAATCATGTATTTACCGTTGATTGATTATACTGGACCGAAATGGTCGGTTTCTATACACATGTCGGCTCCTAGTACAACCGTTAGCTGATGAGTTTCAAATGGGGCGAAATGAGCATGCTGGACTCCACTGCTAGCCCCCATCCACCGTATAACATCATTGTTAATCCTTAGAGATGATCAAAGCATCCGTCCCAGAATTATTTATTTAAACTCGAAAAACTTGGTACAATATGGCATCAAGAAGATGCGCCACATAATAATAATAAAACAACATAGATTAAAAGTGAAACTATAGGTGGAGAACGGATAAAGAACTTCATCTAGAAGAAAAACAGTAATACTTAACAAGTTTAAGCAGCATTCTTCAACTATCATCGGGAAGTAATGAAATCAATTGACCAACTGCCAACCTCCTAACGAATTATTTAAGATATAAGTCTTTTCGAGCAATAGTAAAAATACACACCACATTCATGACTGTGAAGTATATTTCGCTTTACTTAAATGAAACAACAACACTTTGTGTATAATTGTAAGACAAACTTGGAGGTGGAACGGACAGCTAATAAATACTCAACACTAGACAGAGATTCCATAGTATGTTTTATAGATAAGTCGCTTCTAATAGACAACAATCAACCACACATTTCACCTCAAAAGATATGTAGAAGGATAAAATGAACATAGGCGTACAGAAACAACTCAAACAAAATGTACGATTTCTTGTCTGAAGTCAAAAATGAAACTTTACTCACAACGACTTGTATTTTCATACATCTGTTGTGTGTTAGGACTAGGCTGCCGAAACCTAGACATTTGAAACAGCGCTCGAACTAGTGTTTGGAAGTCGGACATTCGCCACAGCTTTACACGCTTTAATATAAGAATAAAACTTGGGCACTGTAGTAGAGTGTAATTCCATTATGGGTAAATTTTATTTTGATAGAGTCTCACAGTGTTATACAGTAATATTTACTGATGACGTTTCGAGCACAATTTATTGCTCATTATCATATCAAGTTAATCACACGACTTCCTAAATTCATTTATATAGTTCCATTGTTTTCCACTTGATTTTCACTTGATTTGATTGGTAGCATTATCTTCCATATTTCGGGTATTAGTGATGATTCATTCCTATTGCACGTGTTGGGTGTAGATTCGATGAACAAAGATGAACACGCTTTAAATCATGCAGATGTACTTGGCGTGTGGGTCTACTAGATAGGCTTTCTGAGACTGTATTCATACTTAATGACTAAAGTTTCCGAGTGTAATTTTTTTCAACTTTTCATTTCATTTCATTAAATCATTGTTTACAAGATAAGAATATCGACTTTTCATGCTTATTTAGGTACACATTATTTTTCATTTAATATAGACTTTGGTTTTGATTTAGTGAATTTAACAATTCCCTGTATTTTTTCACGTTTGTATTGCTCTACTCAACTTATTACAATGCATCTTAACAAGTTTATAAAAATAGATGTGTAGAAGTTTCACACACAAAGAACGGAAAGTGTATTATGAAAGAAAAACTGGTACTTAGAATGAGTGGTTATGAAAATAGCTAAGTGAAACAATGTTTAGTACAATACAAATGCTTACAGGAATGAAACATTCCAGCAGTTAACTGTAATTACACGCATATTTAGCGCCTGACTACTTTGTCACCATAGAAAGCCTAATTGCTTAAATGCAGATACAATGAATAATTAATTCATTTAGAAGAATGTAGAACAGTTATTCAAAAACAACTGATTAGGATGATGGTAAAAAAATGTGGATTTGTTGAGGGAGAAAATGTATCGTTAAAGGCATTTTGTGTAATCAAAAGTCGCGATATGCTGTAGTTTAAAGTTGTATAGAAGCAGAAAATAACAAACAGTCGAAAGTGAGATGTACACTTAATGTACAGTTCACATTCAACGATGTTACATACAGACAACAAGATGGGATTTTAATGGGATCTCCATTGCTAGCAGACTGCCTTATGGCAAACTTCGAGAATGGCTGACTCAAATTACCTATTTATAATTTGCAATTGTATGCTAGATATCTGGACGAAATCTTCATTATCTGCGATGATGGTCACAATCTTAATCGATTACTACAAATATTCAACAACCGCCATTCAGCTACAAAGTTCACTCTTGAAATTGAAAACCAATCTAAAATTCCTTTTCTTGATGTTGAACTTAAAATGAGAGCTGACGGAACTTTAGGAAGGTCCATCCATAGGAAACCCACGAGGAACGGCCAACTGACAAGCTTCCACAGCTGGGTACCAATCAGTCGAAAAAGAAGCCTGATTAGATCCCTTGCTACTCGCGTCCAACGCATCTGCAGCTGATACCCAGAAAGAAGAGCTACACTTCCTGAAAGAAATCCTCATACAAAACGGATATCCACCAAGATTCGTAGACAAAAACATCAAACAGAAAATACAACAGCAATAGACGCCATCCGTGCCAAAAAACCTTATATGAACCTCGACTTCAAAGGTGACCTACTCAGGGTTATCATTAAGCGGAGAATTTCCACTTCTTTAATAAGAACTTTCTTCGCGGCAACACTCAGAGTAGTGTTCTCCAGTCGCCCCCTGATCTGCAGAAGCCCAAAGGACAATATCTCGCACATGACCACTTCTATGTGCATATATCAGTTCACCTGTTGCTGTAGAGCCAGGCACATCGGTCGTTCGATGCGCATCCTGTCAAAAAGGGTCAAAGAACACTATCCAGCGTTGCTGCAGAAAGGAAGTAGTGGCCGTATAAGGAGTGCAATAATCGAACATCTGGTCACCATGCCTCCTTCAAAGTAATCTACAAAGTGAAAAACAACCTGGCAAAGACAATACGTTTCCGCCTTCTTTGCATTGCAGAAGTCCTAGCCATTTAGTTAGAAGAACCAGAACTATGCATACAAAAGAAAATTACTCAACCACTTCTACTATCATGGTAAGAATTCTGTTGATCTGACTCAACTTCTGCTTGTTTTTCCAACTGTTTAAAACTCTTGTATTCCTTCAAAACTTTGTGTAATTCCCTATTTTATTTTGTTTCCATGTTCACCTTGAGCACAACTCATCCATCAAACTACTCATGTTATTACGTAACTCTTCTTTAACAATCGTTTGTGATAACTCATAACTTTTGTTACTACCCTCTTATATCAACATCCAATTCCTCTGAATACTTTTCGTATCACGTAGCTCCACTAAAAACTTAATAATTTTCACCTGTTTAATTAAAATAACCATAACCAATTGTAGGTTTTTGTTTGACAAACTTAATGTACACATACATACCAAATAACCCATATATATTTGCGATTATACAGCTAAGAAAATAAATTTGCCGAAAAGAGACTCTTCGCTGAACTACTGGTGGTCTTCTTTTCTATTAATGTTCGAATGGAGATTTTACATGAACTGAAAGTGAAATATCTACATTCAGTAATGTAGTCATAGTGTGATTGCAATGATGAATTGTTCAAAAACTTATAGACAAAAAAGAAAAGTCTGATTACTGTCTATTAACACCTAACCAATACACATAGGGGTTGGACAGTAAGTAGCACTACACTGTATGACAGGAAATAACGCAATTTTAAAATGTAGCAGAATCAATAAAAAAATAAATAACGGAATGACTAACTGACCTAAACCAATAAGTTTTATCAAGTGTAGAAATCCTGTACTTCTAGGATGAAGAGTATATCGAAGATACGGTAGATTGTTTTTCTCAGCGAAAGTATCACTTCTAGCAATTGATACTTTGGTTAGATTTGTACCTTCAGGAAATATCAACAACTAGAAACAAGATACATAAGAAATATATTATTATTATTAATCACTATAAATCAAAACAATATACTATTAACTTTAATGACTTATCAAGATATTTCATATTTCTAAGCCTTAACCCCTAATGTCAATGTGTTTCAGACTTAGAATAAAACAAATATGCAGTACAACTGAATTGTAAATTTTTCGAATCAAAGTACAAATAATCAAAAAAATCAATCAACTTTATTTCATTTTCAAATAGTTCCTCATCGTCGGCTCTACACGAATTTACAATTTTTTTACATCAAACCAATCAAGTGGTTATTTTAGTTAATCAGTTTTAGTTATAGGGGAGTGGGGTGAAATTGAGAGGTTAAAGGTCATCAAAACAAACAACTAATAGATGTTAGTAACAAGATATCTAAGTTCGTCATATCCAAGATTGGATTTAGTGACACGTTCTCTTTGAGCACTTTCGGCAGACCATATAAACGGGGAATCACGGAACCTGAGGGTCGTATTTGCTCAAATAATTCAGAGCTGATAATCGATTCGTTCTTCATCCTTTTCAGCATTTGTGTTATCTTTCCTTCAAGTTGTTCCGTTTGGTCTTTCTGGCTACTTTCTTATGAAAACTTTTTTTCATCTGACATGACGGATAACATTGTCCTGATGGATCGCCAAGATTACATCGATTAAATGTTATCCGTCATGTCAGATGAAAACAAATTTTCAAAAGAAAGTAGTCAGAAATACCAAACGGAACAAATATCTAAGTTTCTTTGCTATGGCCAACTACATAATATGTATTAAGTTTTTAAAAACGATTTCCCCCCCCCCCACACACACACACACCTTGCAACTATCTTTTGACTTTGTTAATTTTTACAATTTTTGGAAATTTAGCTAATTCTATTAACTTGTTTGCATTTTACGTAATTCTTTTGAGTCATGCTATTCTTCTTAGTCATCAACACTATTTTAAAAATTACTTGATCATGTAATAACTTCTTGCTAACGCCAAAGAATCAACTTATCTTGAATTACGCAATTAATTTTCACATCTCTTTTAAAACTTGGATATCTTGTTACTAACATCTATTAGTTATTTGTTTTGATGACCTTTAACCTCTCAGTTTCACCTCCCCCCCTTTACCTAAAACTGATTAACTAAAATAACCACTTGAATGGTAAGACATTTTGATGCAAAAAAAACTATACATTAGTGTCGAGCCAGTGGTGAATCTTGCACTGCCTTGGTGACAAAAAATATATATATACAACAGCTTGTTTTTGTTTCCAAGCCTAATTGCCTAATTATTCTATAAATATTTATAAACTGTCAAATATTGATCACAGTTCATTTGAATTATTCTATAAATAGTCAGTGTTTGTAACTCTTAATTAGTTAAATCATTCCGGACTAATGCTACTTTTACTTCCTACCAATTACTCCTTGTGATCGTGGAAAATTATGTTCAAATCTTTAATGTAATGTAATTCATATTTTTCATCGTTCAGGTTGTAACCAGTTGAGAAGAATCCTCGAAATAATAAAAAATGAGCTCATATTATCCTGGTACAATTGTTGTTCTTGCTTTGTTCAAGTTTATTAATGAGGAATTAATTGGAAAGGAATATATTTCTTCGCTCAATCTGTTGTTTTTTCTAAATGCATAAATGGGAATTTGGAAATAACTTTATTTCTGTCAACCTATGTTATTTCTAAAATAATAGTGGGCTACTTAAATCACTGGGCTATCAGAATTTTTTTCCACCAAAATGCGTAATTTCATCTGGAATTATCGTTGTTTTAATCGTCCAGTTATATCAAATGACCTATGCATGAAATTGCACACTGATTTGACTTACTTCCAAGTAACGCTGTGCAATTCTCCAACGAAATGACTGTATACCTCAGACTATTACTTTGCATATTAATCCTGTATAAGGTAAGAGCAAACAATAGACACCAAAGCCAAATGACCTTGATTTGGCCAATCAGATAGTTCGGCATTACAAATGGATGCTAGTCATAACCCTCGTTGCAAGTGTCGCCTAGATTTCGTTTTTGACTTCTCTGTGGAAAATGGATTGATAGGGAGGACTAAAACATGCATATGTGGGGGGATAGTGGCTCTGAAAAAGTATTACCGGGCTACTGATGGTTATGTATTCAGTTGCAACCAGTTTATATGAAAGAGTTTGTAAGAGTTGTTAAGTCATACAAAATGTTGACTTTTTAGACATTTTCTCGAAATCGAAACTCTCCCTCAGTAATATATTGCGTATATGCGACTATTATCTGCTACATCTGCAGAAATAGAGAATACATTGGTTTGATGTGTCTGTAACCACTTCTATGAGAAACTGGGGCCAGTTTTTGCAGCATATTAGAGAAATGTACCCTGCATGATTCATCTCTGTTATATATATATATATATATATATATATATATATATATATATGTATTTATATATATATATATCATAGGTACACTTTCTTTATAAATTAGGTACCACTTTTCACATAGAAGAATCTGATTGGCTGTTTCAGGGTTGTCAGAAGTTGGTGTCTATTCTTTACTGTTGCCCTGTATAAAGAAAAAAGTATTTTGGAACAAAATACGCTGAAAACGTTTGTACCATATGTTCGCATATTGTCTGAAATAAAGCTTTATTATTATTGTTATTATTATTAATATCCACATTCACCCTTTCACTATTGTGAGAGCACCCCCATACACTGAGTGAGGGCTTGACATCATTTGAAACCCCCTGGCTAAACATAAGCCACCGGTAAATAATTGTAGTTTCGTTTTAAACACAATCACTAAGGCTAATTCGTTTTATAAGGAGAAGAAAAATATGAAACATTCAGTTGAATATATTTTATATTTCTCATTTCTCATGGACACTGAAGATACCTGATTGTCCGGTAGCTTTAAACCTATATGCAATCATTAAACACAGCAACATGAAGGCAAAACAGGTCACTAGATGATAACGATGAAAGTAACACTGACCTAAATACATCATTAAACTTATAAACATCAGTGAAATTAAAAGATTGAGTTCACCCTTAACTTACTGGCTTAATAATGTGTTACATTATATTGTGTATCCAGGCTTCAGTAGCATTTAGTTCATTCACCTTGGTAGATTGTTAAGACTGCTAAAATAAACTTTTCTAAGTAGGTGAACAATCCTTAGTTCTCTCTTTGAGCCTTATTATTAAAGGTTTCAGTCAAGTATAATAATGATAAGCATATTAAATTAGTGGCTGTTATATATATATATATACATTTGATCTAATGATGTTCTTAAGTGACTTTCTAAATACTATATTCATCTGTGTTTATATATGTATCTGCATAATTCTGAATGTTTGTAATATTTTGTATGTATTGATTCATATCTATATGGAATCAGACTATGCAGAAATTCATCAGTCTAGGCAAAGTATATAAGAGCATAGGGGGAGGAATATAGTGAAACTAAAATGAACAAAGATGTATGGGAAAGGGAAATAATAAGATGTTGGTAAGAGATTTTGAGAATCAGGGATAAATACACCTGCGTCATTATTAAATGATTTTCAGCTAAACTACCAACAGTCTCCAGCTATTGATTCTGAGCATTCCGGAGACCAGAGTTGAGCAATCTACCCTTTTTTGCGTGGCTCACACCAGCAAGAAAAGACTCCATGAATCGATAACATGTTTTGGTCTGACTGTCTTTCACCTTTCCCCAATCCAATCATATTTAAGCCAATATAATGCATAGAGGAAAGCGATGGCTCGTAACAGGCACATGTCAGCTGATGAAAGCGAATACTAGGCTAAGTCAATGAAAATCACATTAGAGCAGTGAAAGAGGAAATGAAAAAGGCTAATGACAGAAACAAAACTATTATGCTGACAGAAATGAGGACTTGTTGATTATAAGCCACTTGCCTACAATCAGAAAACCAACTTTTCTCGGCAGACGTCAAACACCTATACGTTTCTGAGTAATGAGGTTATCAATCCAGGAATTTGTCAGCTGTGATAAGAGACTTTGAAGTTACTGGTCTGAATCGTGATGCGAACCAAATATTCCCTTAGCTTTCAATCCATTGCACGGAAACTACTCGGCTAAAAGGAGTCTATCTTGAACAAATCCATCATCAAGAACCTCATTGGTTTTATAGGTTGAAGTCATATCTTGGTAAGAATACTAGTGAAAACAGGATTTGTTAGTATCCTAGAGTGTCTCTGTTAGATAAATTCGCCAATCAGTGACACGGTTGCATTAAAACGCAATTTAAACACAAGTTAAAAACTTCTCACCTGGCAACTGTCCTGAATTTCAAGCAAATAAGTAACGGTTTTCTGCAATCTTTCTTGATCCGTTGCTATACGTCGACGTAGGAATATAAAGCTACCGCACTGCATAGCCCAACCAGCACCAGGAACTTTAGCAAGAGAATCTTTTAGAATTATTTTCATCCGATGAATTGGATCACCTAAGCCCCATACAAAAAACCAATCCAACTGTGTCCGATGATTGAGTATAAACAAACAACTACGAGGTTCACATGATGTAGATGGTAAGACTCGATCACCGAACTGACGAACACGACAACCAAGAATTTTGCATATAACAAACTAAAAGAGAACGTAAATAAGACTGTTAATTATAGGTAGAGTTATGGCACAAAACTAACAGCGTTATGCCGAACCGAAACGAATTTTCGATGTAAAACTTTGCACAGAAGTGCAGTAGTTCAAGTTGTCAGACTTCATAAAGCATATATAAGGATCGGGAAAATAATGCAGGAAAGGCTATAGTAGACGGGAATGTATGGCAATAGGAATAAGCATATAAAGAATTATGAGAACTTCACATATCTGTGAGATCACAAAAAGTGGATGCATCTAAACCACTGAGAACGATTTTGATTCATATCACTAAAAGTTACCAGATACCACAAGGACCCCAGCCAGGTAGTCTGTACGATCTCCCTCCTACCTACATGCCTCAAACCAACAGTCATAGAATGGTGCCATGTTTTGGTTTGACCACCCCTAACGCTTTTTCCAAACCAACCCTGTCAGCTAACCATGACAAATAGGACGATGACATGATATGGGTTCAAGTCATTTCAATCGACATAAATTCACAAAGACGGAGTAAACTATACATACGTCACTCGATCTACAACGTCGACGCTAAAGATGACACAACAACCTTTTGTGTCCGAGCTGAGATTTCAGCAACCAGTCCATTAGAGTTGATGCAACCTTCTAAATAAGTGAAGTGGAAAAGACGACCAATCACTTCACCTCCTATCTTTAAATTGTGAATCTGTGCAGACCAGTCCAGCTTCATATTATATATATCAAGGCCGAATCCCACTCAAAAACGTACAAACAGAGTGTCATCGTCCTCACCCAGAAGGACGATTTCTGCATACTGTAAATTACAGTGATGATTGCCTGGTAACAAGTCAAGCCCTAAGTCGCTAAAACTGATTGGCATCAAATCCAGTCGCGCATCTATGATAAACATCTCTGAAGGACATCACTGGTTGCCATCAATTACTATGGGAACTCTGCATTAGCTCTTGCACGACTGTATGACTTCGAGGATTGTGTGTCGATTAGTGCAAGGTACTTTCTTTAGCAGTCCCTTAATGCCTAGACACTGCCACAGCGCCTCTCTGTCGACGAAGTTAAATGCCACCCTTAAGTCAAGAAATATGGCAAATGTTGAACGCCATTAAGTATGCCCATGTTCCAGAATCTACCACACGGTGGAGATAGGATCAATACACCCTCGACAGGCCTAAAGTCTGACAGGTCTTCACGGGTTTGTTTCTTCCGAGCACCGCTTGGTCTACGCAGGATAGCAAAAGTAGGAGGAAACAGAGAGCTGCAGAGTGACCAAAATTGTTTCCTACTTTGAGACATCTAACACTTTTGGGTCAAACATCCTTTCGGATGTTCCTCTAACACATTCTAAACAAAATGAACCTTCTTTCACTTAAAGAACTCAGATCATAGACTGATAAAAAAATTTAGAGATATAGAAGCCTTTGGGACAACAGTGATCATACATGTTTAGAAGACTATAACCGGTATTCTGAGATGACAATCCTCACTGAATGATCTTCAGCTGCTATCGCTGTTAATGACTGCACACATATCTACCGAGACATTATGAAACTACGGTTGATTAATTTAAGTGCTCAACTTTCAGGTTATTGAACTCACATCTGAAATTGCTTGATGCTGAGTGAAGAAATATACATGCGGTTGTTGACCACCAAATTTTTCTTTCTATGGAAACATTAACGGCTAAATAACCAAAACCGCGGAATATTTTTTTTACAGAAACCCACAAAATATAATTCTAAATGTTAACAGTACCAGTGAACTATTTGCAATTCACCGAAATCATAGAAAGAAAATTAATGAACAACATATTTGCAAAGTGAAAAATTGTCATAATCATTCAGTCATGTCACTTGTAGTTTCCTTACTCCATTATTTTACCTAATAGATGAAGTCAGTATAGTCATTTTAGAAAGAAATACCTAAATAGCAAGTGATTTTCTACACTCTACGCCATTCATTTAATACTAAAATGTCATAAGAGAGTATAAAGGCATGGCATTATCTAAATGAAGAGAACATGCCTTACGGAATGGATCAATGTATTATAATTAAACTTGTAATGTACGTCTAGACTGTGTTAAGTTCTTTTTCTTGTTAGACGTTAGACACAACCCTTCAGCAAGTCAGGTAAAGTTGTGGTGGTATGATACAGACAATGTGTGCCAATGGAATATTATTCTCAAAGTAAGAAGCATTGTATATGTTGGTGATAAAGTTTGAATACTATTCCCACAGTTCAATACGACATTAGCAACAGAATGCTACATGTATTTGAACATTTTATTTCATATCGTTTAGTGTAAGCCGGAATCACACGCTAAGTGATTGGTTAAAGAATATAAACTGTACATATATAGACAGAGGTTTGATCAATGAAAAAGATACCTTGGCTTCCGTGTCTTGCCTTTTGCTGTTACAAAGTAGTTCAGGTAATTTCGATGACTGTAATTACTGAAATACTCTAAAACCTTTAGTATAAGTTTGTGAGAATTAATTTCAGCACCTAATCACTCAAGCTAAAGCAGATTCAAAGGGCTGATAAACACGAACTAATTATCAAAAATTGGATGTCTTCGTTCTCCAGCCAGAATCATCTGAGAGGACATAACAGCACGTCAGTTCAAACAACCAGCTATAGCTAAATCGATTGCATGAAATGCCACAGCTATTGTGAAAGATAAACAGGAAAATATGTCACAATACGGAACTATGCAGTTGCAAAGTTTCTACAGATCTATAACTCAGAAGTTAAGCGCACACCACTATTGAATCGTATATTTTGACGGGAATAGTTATAGCTGATTCCCTGTACTCCAAAAAATGGACTGTGTGCAGGATAAGTCATTCATTCATCAAAAATGATTTGCAGCTTCTAATCACGAGTACTTCAACATTTGGAATGAGGATTTAAACACACAGACACACATTACACATTAGATTTAGTTATTTTTTTCAAAAAAAGCATTCCATAAAACATTCCCACAAAAGCAGTGAATTTAACTTTGTCACACGATTCTTAAGTGAAAAACAGCATTCCACATCGATGACTTCTTCGGCGACACCGAACAAAACAAAAAATATAGTACGATACACTTCTACGCTATGACTTTTACTATGTATGTGCAGCCTAAGATTTAAAATGAACTCAATTTAGAGGTAACTGGGACATATGTTACACATATTTGGCCACTATTGATAACATGGATTAAAACCGTTCTCAATGGTGTAAATGCATTCAGTCATTGATATTCTCAAAATCTCGAACATTCTCATTACTTATCGATTAATTATAACCTGTTCCCAAAACCTTGTTTATCCAGTGTAGTTTGATTTTGTTTCCACTTATTGGGTTGCGTTCTAATTCTAAAGGTGGTTACTCAAACTAAGGGACACTTGCAGAACGATCTACCTTAATCTTTTAGTTAGGTTTTATGTTGAATGTCTTATATTGGCCAGAAGCATTATTCTGGTGTTGTCATGGCAGTTCAGTTGTGTGATGGAATCATAGGATTTCTATGATCCTATTAGACATTGTTCTCAGAGCAATTTAAGAAACGACATATAGACTGACACACTTAGGATTAAGAAGGTGCATTGGTTAACATTAGACGACCAAATCATGTGGATAATTATGACCTAAACAACTTAGTGGTAAGGCTGATTACTTCGTTACTGAGTGACGCATATTCGAATCTTGCAGGAAGCATCAGCTTTCTGAGGGTTTGCAGATACACTTGGGTGATATATCTCAGCAAACACGAAATCTAGGTCAGATGGACTGTTTTCGAAAAAAAAGAAGTGAGGTCTTAAGATTTATTTAGAGATAAAAAAATTCGATCAGCAAAAATAATTTTGAATATGATTTTGTGTACTTAGAGATTTCTTTATAGTCTGGTGTACCTTCACAAAACCAAAAAGGTTGACAAAATGAAATTATGACTGCTTCTAAGGCGGGCAACGTATATAAGGGTAGGATATATTCGATGAGACAATATTATCTTGAATTAATAAAAAATCGAAAATAGCTAAATGATCATGCGTGAAGTTAAGTCAAACATTAGACTCATAAGAATGACTTTATAACTTTTTCTTGTTTATGGTAGCACATGATGTTGGATACAGAGAAATAAGGAGAGATTAAGTGAACGTAAAACAAAAATCTTGTTTTTTTGTTTTAATCAACTGTTTCGTCGGTCTAGGTGAATATAATGAACTTTCAAATGTAGACATCACTAGTAACTGTCTCAGTTTAATAACAACTAACCAGAGAAACACCATTAACTAATCTTATATAAAACAGTTTTGTTGGAAGGTTTAAAAAGAAAAATACATGATGTATAATCTTCCATTAAGAAAGCCAAATAACTGGCTACAAAATGACACAGTATCTATAGTAAATTTGTCAGAAATACTATCTGAAATCTAGAAATAGTTATGCAGTAGAAGAAATAAAGACAAGTAAAACTATCCCCGTTTGACAGATGTTAACAGAACAGACATTAAAGTAATCTTCAAAACTACTAAGAAGTAGATCTGAACAACAACTCTTAGTTTAAACATCTGAGTGTTTCAGGCTTTCTCTGTGCTTCATTATTGACATCCATTAACTTTTTAGTCTATAATGATTTCTTATCACAGTTACCGTAAATTTCACGTAATAATAAAAAACCCGTTGACGGTGATCAAATGAATAATGCAACTAAGCTGCCATAAAAACGTTTAGAAAATGCAGAATTATGAAAGTTACTTTTGTTTTGTCGACAAAGTGGATACACCTTAATCTTTTAAAATTTTATTATAGCTTGACTCCACACAGTATTTTTGATACAAGTATGGAATTTTTAGCACGTGATATCGGTAGCCCAAATTTAGCAGGCCGACCATGGATATCGGGCGTGCGTCGGCCGGGGATCGAACCCCAGACCATGTGTATGGTCGGAGAGCGTACTAACAACTGTGCCACCGATGCACAAAGTGGTGTCAGGAGTGGGATACGAATGGGCCATTACCGTAAGTTGCACGTTGCATGCTTTGCATATAAAAGATGGTTATGTGAATCGATTTACAGTGGAGTGATCTAGAGCTAAAATAATGTAACTGAAAATTAAAAGGTTAAAATACTGAACCGTACAGGTACAATAATTAGATTCAAAGGATGGGTTTAAAATTTCTTGTATATACTTACCTCAGCAAACATTAACCAGGATATTAAAAGTTCGTCGACAAGATAACGAAATGAACGCGGTGATATAATCGCCAACGGAAGTAGTGGGGCATGAAGGAAAATTGAACCAATATAAGCTGAAAACAACAGCAAAACAACTCCAACTACGCTACGAATGCCATATGATCTAACTATAGGAAGATTTGGTGGAACAGGTTGAGGAACACATGGAGGGCATGATGCTTCAGAGCCCGCGGTAGAAACAGCCGATTCCGAGGCAACAGATGTATCTATGCTACGATCGTATGAATTTATGCGTGGAACGACGAGATTCTCTTCATGTTTGGGAGATGCATTGTCAAATAAATCTTCCACTTTGTGAGAAATTACATCCATAATGGTGCGTAATGCAAAACGCCACCCTCTAAAATGTGATACTTAAGATTAAAGGGGTATAAAGAAAGGAAATTGAGAGAGGAGAACTAATTTATTTCGGATTATTAATTTATTTTTCACAGTGTTTACAGCTAGAGGTTACATGAAAACAAACGCTTTCGCGAATATGTTATCGACAGTTGTATGCTCGAAAAAAAAACAAAAAAAATAAAGAAAATCAATACGAACAAAGGTTTGTTCAACAACGTAAAGTACTAAGAAGTGAATCCCGTAAGAACAAGTTGAAATGGAATAAGAGGTGAACAGGAACCCTCTGTTAATTTAAAATCACTACCTGACTAAAACATGACCGATTTCATGGATAAATATTTACTAGGAATCTACGCATTCGATAATAATATGGAACAGAATATGTTAAACACAAACCTTGACTATTATATTAGTGAAACGACATAAAACATTCAGCAACAAGACACTACCATCCTCGACTGTGTCCTTAACATGAAGGATAAATCAATCTTTACAACAAGACAGTTACATTATCTCAAATCCTCTCGACATCAACCCTTTTCAGAGACATCCAGCTGGGTATCGTTTTCAGGAAAAGAAAGTATATTTGTTGAAGATTTATTCAGCATATACACCGAGAAAATATCCGCTGATAATTCGATATTGATTGTGCATTGGCAAAAGACAAAAGTCCAGTCCAAACACTCTGAATGAATAACTTCCTTTTCGAAACTTTGCTTCCAACCGAAAACAGGTTCTGCGACTTATCAAATCACAAATTTACAGCACTAATCACCACATAATATCAGTGAATGACTTAGTCCTCTCAAATGTTAATATAGTGTGAATATCAAGAACCGACGACAGTCTAATTATGGAATGAGTCAAGACAAACCATTTAGAACTTAGATTATGCAAATTTTAAGTAGCTAATCAATACGTGAAACTCACCTAAGATCGACAGGCCCAAGGTTACTAAAATCATATACTTGAAGACTAGAGCATTAGAAATGAACTGAGAAAATGTTTTACCTCTAGCTCCAGGACTACATTTTGCAATTATAGTGCTTATCATGTTTCTTGGGGTTAGGGGTCAGTTTGTTACTGTCGAATGTTTATACATACCAATTTTTAACATCTAAACCCGATCACTAATGTACTTTTCAACTAAAAATGGAATGTAATATGGCGACTGGGTAACTATGACAAATACTTCGAGGTATACGACTGCTCCTCATTTATGACAGTGGAAGAGCAATTTGTTTGCTTTACCGAGTAGAGACTATAAAGCAAACAACAGCTGTGTGATCAATATTACAAAAGTAGTTTAATGCGGCAAACATGAACATTGAACGTACGAATACTTCAAGTGATTATCGAATACATATTTATGGCCAAAATTAACGGAAGCGGTCATAAACCAGTCACTCTCCAGTCCTATGCAGTGATCATCCTAGTGAGTATACTTTGTAACCACGATTTATAATTCGACACGCATAAGTTGTCCATTAGGCCTAAAAATATATTTGCACAGCAAACTCAGATGAAATCAAAGTGTTTATCTTTTAATAGTACTTGAGAAGAAACAGATACCACAGACAAGTTATGATAGCAAGTGACTACACTCAACGAGGTATCATAAAGAATAAATAAGTACCTGGTCAATTAATCTTACTTCCCTACAGAATTCATGTGATAGGTCTACAGAACACCGAATACATTATATAGCTTGTTACCAATTCATCATTCTATGCAATTTAAGAATTCTAAAAATAATCTTTTTTCACTTTTAAAGTACTATCGAATTACTGAATCCATGTAATATATAGTGATTTGTTTTCAATAGTCTTCTCATAAACCTGTCAATCACACAATAGAGGATTTCTGCTTAACTTGTTTATTTTAAGTCTTAAATAAGAGAAATCAACTCATCACTCTATCATAATTAGTTTTAAGGAATCCACAAAACACTATCCTGTTAAGTAGAAAGTGTGATTAGACGACCCTTGTTTTACAGAATTCAATTTGCTAAAAAACATGATAATTTGATACTATTGGTTCTCCACACGTGCCACAGGAAATCAACTCTATACACCTAATTAGGTTACAAATTATGATAAAGATTTGATTAATAATATAAGGCGAATTTTACAGTATTTCGTCGAACTCGTTTAATTCGCTTTCAAGACTTAAGTTTGGTGATGAACACGAGGAAATTATGAAAACAACTCGATTATACTGTGGTTACGATGAACATTTCAAATTTCTAAGAAATTTAAGAATTTAGACTTCCACCATATAAGTAAGCATTTCAAATGACACAATCTAACCATGTGCTCTTTTATTTATTCTATTATAATCGGTTAAGAGCACAAAGGAAAAATCTAGCGAATAATTCTCAGAAATTTTGTGACTGACTTAATTATAATAAATCGTATGCAATTCACATCGACAACATTGACAGTACGCATGCAATTTGTCTCTCATGTTCCAAGCAATAACCCGAACTTATTGTGTGAGGACTGATGATACTACCCAGTTACCAAGGTTGCTTTTGGAGGTGTTTTGCTATATAACGCCGACAGCTCTATCAAAACAATAATAAACCAGAATTTACAGAATCTCGACTTGTATGTAGTAACTTAGTCAAATGACGGAACTGGTGAAGACGGCAAACCATGTGCAAAATGTTGGATTTGATAAATGTGCAAAATTATGAAAGCAGCATGTGTGTACATAGTGAAATTACTTATTATATTTGTGTTGATTCTGTTACTTCATGAGGGGGATGTTGGAATCAGATCAACATATTTAAGGTTTTCATACTATATATGCCAGCGACTGTCACTTTTTAGCTACTGATCTACAGAAAATATTATGAAGTATGCGAGCTAACCAGTGATGCAACTACAACGAACAATCACCAGTGGCAAAGGGCTGTGATATGAGTGAAAATAAACTGGTTTAAGAATAAGAAAACATCGGTAAAATTGTCTTATAACCGTAAAACAAACTATTAAGTGAAAAAGCAATAAGAGATCAGAAGAAGGAATCAACCTGCATAATCTATGTAAATACCAAAGAACTTGCAAAAATTATATTTCTACAAAGTATTATTTAGGACTAGGTTTCTGAACAGGTGCACAATCATGCTTTCCACGTACAACTTTATGTTTCACCCCAATAAGGTCCTGTGTCCGACCACCTCGAATCAAAACAATATTATGCTCCTGTAAATTGTGACCTTCACCAGGAATATGAGCTGTGATTTCACGGCCGTCGCTCAAACGAACACGTACACACTTTCTATTTGCACTGTTCGGTTTCTTCGGTTTACGTATAAGGGTCTTCAGTACGATTCCTTTTATAAATGGTTTTCCGTTCATTGCCTTATTTGGTGGGCGCTTCTTTTGATATGGGCCACATATGGCCATCTGGGCTAAAGTAGCTAGGCTGGCAGCTGAATGTACACCAAATAATGATCTGGAACCATTAGAGACGGTTTGCAAAAATGATTCATTGTTGGTGCATTTCTGACTGATTGATAAATAAGGTGGATTTAGTGACTGCTTGAAGAAGACAGCTAAAAGAGGAGGATGCAATGAAACATGTTAACAAACACACAAAACGCTTTATGTTAAAGACAGAAACAGAGGAACTCGGTGTCAGAGTCGATAAATTCTATCACTCGAATTCCCAAATGTAATCTACAACATTAAAATATCTAAGTATACTCTGCGAACATGAGGTGAGTGATTCATGTGGATTTACTTATCAGAATCGTAGATCGTTAAAAAAACTTTCATTAACCAACTCACGTCACATAATAAGTAATAGCCATCCTATCACATCAGAGTATAATACTCATATAAACAAACACCATAAAATTTGGTCAAAGTTACCAGTTCACATTAACATATTGCGGTGAATGGTATTACCGGAAATTTTCACAAATCGAAGTATGTTGCTTTACGACACCAAGCAGAAAATCTTGATTTTGCAAGAGAATTCAAGAAAGTCTGGTATGACTGCTCTTAACTTTTTTACAGTATAATCCTACCACAGCCAATGACGCACCATTCGACAGACAGTGTCAACATAAGCACCACGTACTTCAAATTACAACCACACCAAATAGCTTACTTCTCTTTTCTGATACTATATCTAAACTTCGGAAAACTGACAACATTCTCAAAAGTTGCGAAAGACTTTACAGTGATGTTAGTCGTTTGCTAGTCAACGAAACTGCGAATAACATAAGAAACTCTGAAATGAAATAATACCTGATCTGTTTGAATCAACAGTCCAACTGACCCACAACCTTACCAAATAAAATTCCTTGCAACCGCACTAGTGGAGTTGTACAAATGACTGACTGGTTTCAACATAGAGCATGGCACAGATGTGCAGCAGTTCGAGTCGCCACACTCCATGTAGCACAAAAAGCGATAAAAGTGTGAAGAGGGATTCAAAAGGCAGCTAATAAACAGAAATGTGAGGCAAAAAGAAAAGTAATACGGGAGAACAATAGAGTTTTACTGGATATGACAAGTCACAAAGAGTGAATGCATCAGCGCCATTGACAACGATTTTGAGCCATATCACCAATTGTCTCCAGCCATTGGTTTTTACAGTCCCGAGGTTTGAATAATCCTGAATTTTTGTGAAATTTCCCTAATTTTAGTTGATATTCTATTCGCTATTATATCTTTATTATCATTATAATTTAAGCATCTTTAATGAACTGTAATTGCATTGATCACACTTTACAAATCGATATTATTTAAAAACGCTAATATTGTTATTAACTACTAATTTAAAATATTCTGTGTATATAAACATATATATATGTATAATTGTAGAGCCTGGAAGAGGAATTTATCGAAAAGAATAATCTTTGCTCGATTATTTTGTTTTATAGTTGTATGGGAATCTAAATTTGCAGTTTGTTACCTCTGAGACAGCCAGAGCTGTGAAAGGACAGGTACTGTTTCAACACAATAATCTTTCTCCACGAAGCACCATAACGAGTGCAACACTACTTATTGCAACTAGTCCCAAAGCTAACTGACAGCCGTAATAAATCTGATACAGCGACCTCAGCATCACCAAATGCAGACATTCCTAAGGGAAGAGTGATGGACAAATACAGGTTTTCCAGACATGTTTAACAACAGGAAAAAAGTCTACATTCACTGAATAAAAAAGCAAAACACTTGCTGAAATATGTATCTACCTGAGAATACTTTGTTGTCCCAAAGTCGGAAGTAACGTGTTAACGCATAACACGACTGCAAACAGAATTTAACTCAGCTGGCAATAAACTGCCAATTGTATTCTTATTATATTTCCTTTTCCTATGCATATATACAAATTTTTGTAACTTTCACAAGATTTACACACTATAAGACAAGTCAGTGATCAATGATGTTCACGAATCTGAGAACCGAATCATGAAGCTGACATCCGAAGTAAGTTTCAGTTCAAATCACTTATACTGGTGAGAGGAGAGATAAAAATAAGTTAATGCGTCTAGTATACGTACAGCATACTGGTCTCATAACACCTAGACATATATAAGTAAAGCTATTTACACAAAAATAATAAATATGCAAAACAAGACGAACACCAGAAAACTGTTAGATAAGTGACAATTTCAAGTGGTGTTCGATAAGTAAAAGAGTCGGATACCGTTGCTATACACCATTCATTTACTACAGCAGACGTAATACATGTGTTTCTCATTAATTTGGCTAGTATTTTGTTTTAAAATAGCGTGATATGGGCTTGTGATCACCTGGCATTAACGACACCTTCCAGTAGTTTCAGACGTACATTTAACCCACCAGTTCCTTAGATGAGCATGTATCACCGATCACATAGGTATACACAGTGAGGTTTCTGGTTGTTACCTTGATGCTTACTATTGTTAATTGGATTTATGCATAAGGATCTTATCCTCGTAAACAATATCGTTCACAAGAATTAGTAAAAGACTGATTAACTGATAATCTCCTCAAAAACTCTGATCCGTACACTTTAAAGGAGGGAAGCGTAAAAATAATTCGCGCTGTCAAAATCAAATCTCGCAAATGCATGAAACAGAAAGCATTATTTTTAAGACGTCTATAACGAGTGCAAAATCCGCTTAGATAAAGGTCCCTGGTGACTATGAGCAACGTATATTATACCATGGTGCAGTAAAATTTCTACTTCCATAAAGTCTGGATGACTAATCTTGAACTACATCTTGAGTAAATCTGCCTAAAATTGCATGTCCTACCTATTCAAAGGATCACCTTAATAAAACACTTTAGAAGGTAAAATGTACTTTAAAGAGTAATTATGGATTATCAAACTGCCAAAACTATGAACTGTACCACTTACCTAAACTTCTCGAAAACACACTGTAACCTTGTTTCAACAGCGCGGACATCACTCACACTGATATGATGACCTTGGGATTTAACAATGAACAGATTCAGATTTATTGGCTGAAATTATCCCGCATGCTCAAGGTCACTGATGGAGTGAGACGCTCAAAGGTCATTTTCGTCCATGTTAGTCGGTTATGTTGGATTGCAGTTCCGTAGCCGTTCGTTTACACATTGGTTTTACGTTCTGTTGGCATTTATGGGTGATTACCATGTACTGATAGCATTCTTTTGTAACACAGTACTGTTCTTCACACGAAAATAGCCACATTTTGACGTAGTCTTCATTGAATGACACTATGTCGAAAGCTGCAGCTTCTACAAGAAATAAACTATTTGTGTAGATGATATTACCCCCCAACTACCCCATCTTCTTCATTGTAGAGATGTTTTGACGCATTCAGCATGAAACACTAATCATTACAACCAATATGCTAAGTGTGTCGCAGCCAGATTAAATGACGCGGACACCAACATAACTAGCCAGGAAATGAGAATTCCTATCAATCCAGAAAACATATAACAAAATTTTATTTAAAAATTATTGACAAAAAAATTTGCCGAGCGAAATTTCAACCAACATGCCGGATAAGTCCAGCCGATTTATTGATGTAGGATAGAAGGCTTGGAGCCTATGTTAATCCTTTTCTAATTAATTTCTGTGCTTTTCCTAACAATTCTTGAATTACTCCGTTGAGGTTTCAGACACCACTTCTTCTGGGAGTCGGCTCCAGGAGTTTATGACTCGGTGTGATAACCAGCACTCCACAGCAACATGATTTCTTCTTGGATTTGAACTCTCCTGCCATATCCTCTAAGGTCTTCCAACCTGGTGGAAAAGAAATGAGAAAATAGGTCAGGTCCGTAGGTATTATTTCAAAATTTTAAACATTGTAATTAAATCTCTCCACTTACGGTATGATGAGGAGAAGAGATTTAAACTGTCCAGTTTTTCCTCGAACGATATGTTAGTCATGTCGAGAGTCATACGTGTTGCCTTCCTTTGAACCCTTTCTTAAATATGTGAGTCCCATTTAAGACAAGGACTGGCTGAGTGAATACAGTATTCCAGTCTTGACCTCACCAGGGATGTAAATAAGGAGGTGAACATATCTCTGGTGATTCTAGTAAAGGCTCTGCAAATTGACCATAGGGATCTAAAACTAGGTGCAGCCGCAGCGCGACGGTGTGCTGTTGTTTTTAAATCATGACTTATTATGACATCTAAGTCCAAGTGAGTCTGAACTGATGGGAATGTTATTCCCTTTAGTTCGTAGGGGCTGATGCTTGCATGTCCAATGCGCATGGCTGCATATTTCGCTACACCAACAGGGAGCATCCATTCTCTGGTCCACTCCGAAAGCTCGCTGAGGTCTTCTTGCAACGTGAGCGTATCACTGTCGCCCTTCAGCTATCTCCAGATTTTTAAGTCATCTACATATATGACCATAGGGTACTCGGTGAGCAGAGTTAACTTACTGATATACAAAATAACAAAGGAGAGGTCCGAGTACCGTGCCTTGTGGCACTCCGCTACGCACTGCTGTCCATCAGGATGGTTTCGATTAGGACGCTTGCCGACCATGCATATGGTCTGGAGTTCGAACCTCATACTTGTGCCAAAATACTGTGTGTGCAATCAAGCTACAATCAAAATAAAAAATAATAATAAAAATTGATCATGACACTCTGCCTCCTATCTATGAGGAATTCCTGAATCCAGCTGCCCTTGATACCGGGACTTTCCAACTTCATGAGTTGTCTTTTGTGAGGAACTTTATCGAAGGCTTTGCCGAAGTCTCTGAAGACGACGTCAACTGATCTTCTGTTGTCCCTGGATTTGACCCAGCATTCTCTTGCAGTGAGAGGATTTGACAGGCATGAGAGATTTCCCCGGAAGCCATGCTGTGATCTGGATAACAAACTGCCTTTCTCTATATAAGCCGTGATACTTTTCTTGATGATTCCTTCCAGTGTCTTGATTAAAGTGCTGATGAGACTAATACGCCTGTAATTTGAACGGCTTCGTCTTGATCCTCCTTTGTGGATTGGGGTTGCTATGGCGTCTTTCCAGTCACGCGGTAACACTCCATTTAGGAGAGAGAGCTTGAAGTTAGTGGTCAGTGGGCGGCAGATAGCTTTTACAGAAGCCTTGGATGAAGATTATCAGGACCCTTTGACTTCCTTGCATCCAGTTTCATTAGGCAGTTGAGCAGGATGTCTTGGTCAGCGTTTACGGAATCTATCCCGTGTTCCTCTGATGCAGCCAGAGCTGATCCTATGGGGAATGATGACTCCTTTGTAAAGACTTGGGAGTAATAGTCTGCCATCGCTTCTGCTTTTTCCTGATCTTCTTCGAATGTGTCATCGTCAAGAGTCAGTTTTGGGACACAATTGGGTTCCTTGTTTCTGAAGTTCATATACTAGAAGATCTTTTAAGCTTGTACCTTTGCATTCTGAGCCAGATGCGCTTCGAACTTCATCCTTGAATGCCGGATTTCTGCAATAGCTTTGTTCCTAGTGACACTGTATAATGCTGTGGTTTCAGGAGTCTCAAATGTGGCAAACAGGTTCCGACATTTGTGTTTACGTCTGAGTAACTTATGAATCTCTCGGTTTATCCAAGGGGGCAATTTTCCCGACTCTTTCGGACGGACCAAGGGATGAAAGCTCCAGTAACTTAGGCGTAAACTTCTTTAAACTGATTCCATGCGGGCTCTACTTGGGACTCTGGGTCTATGTGCCAGTTAACTTAGTTGGCTGCTGAGAGGATCACATTCATATCAGCTTTCCAAACGTTTGGTCGAGCTGGGGTTTTGGCCCATGATACTGCTACTGTGAACTTGAAAGGGAGCACAGCGTGATCACTTCTTCTTAAGGGAGGAAGATGTACGAGATCGCCATCCTCACCGTGTGAGAACACTAGATCCAGAGTTGAGGAGGAGTGCTGTGAGTCATAGCGTGTGAGCTTTATGGCATGTCGGACTAGGGCTAGTGAAATGCTACATTCCAGCAGTTTATGGTCAAAGCAGTTATCTGAAGACATCGTTTTAGTGCTTGTCCAGTCAAATGTTGGGGCGTTGAAGTCGCTGACTACGAAACTTGGACATTTCGATGTCCAGGAGCCTAGCTTTTCTATTAGGAAGTCGTTTGCACTGCAGTCATGACTGCGGTATATAGCAGTGAGGTCAGTATCTTGGCCTATGCATTTAAGTCTGCAGCGTAGAAGTTCGCTTTCGTGAGCGAGTGCTTCGAGACTGCTCACGGTTAAGCTTGGTTGGTCCATCCTATGCCTTTGGAAGCTTGGCAGATTAACTTCGTTGTCAGCGACGTCGGGTGTGAGCCATGTCTCTGTGATGATAATTACATCCGGATTTCCGGAATCTGTCATATTAATCAGCTCAGTCTGTTTGCTCAACAGGCTGCGGGCATTTGTGTAGCAAATTGTCAACTCAGTTTCGTGCTTCCGCGGCCTACCCACAGAGGTTTCGGGATCATCAAACTGTGAAATCTGACAACCCGAAAACCCTTAATCTTAAGGTTCTTTTCGCCATTTCAGAGTCACTCGCTTAATTTTTCAGCCTCAGACTGTCTTTTGGCGCGGTCTGCTAGGCAGGGACGCACATGCTAGAAGTACAACATGTTGGACCTTGTGTTTTGTCATAACACAGTCCCAGTCTCCATCTGTATTGGTATCAGATTTTCCAGTAGTGACCATGGAATGGTACTCTGCTTTCTGCACTTATCACCACTAAATATGGCAAACAAACAAGATTCGGGTAGTATGATATGCCGTAGTTACAAACATACAGATTGGGGATTGGTCCAAGAACTCATTCGACTCTGTCAATGGGATGACTTTTTCACCACTGACTCCCTGGAGGCTGTAGCGTCCCTATTTTACAGGAATGTTGCCCTTTGTCTAGATACTGTTGCTCCTAAGAAGGTAGTGGCATTAAGTAGACACCAAGCTGAATATATTCCAAGGGCATACAGCAATAAGTTAAGAAAATTGAAGCAGCAGTACTATTCCACTGAGGATATATCATTACTGCACTCAATCCACGAGTCTCTTGAATCTGTCAAGCGCCTACACTCTCAGAAGGACCTCGACGAAGAGTTAAGCGCACTTAAAAGTACCCCCAAAGTCCATAACCTCACAACACTTATTAACAAAAGAATGTGGTCGACGAGGGACAACCCTCTACCTACTTCACGAAAAAGTAATCTGCAATGAGACTGCCACTGCCTGTGAACTTTTCAGTGTGTAGTTTGAGAACTCTAGTTTAGAAACGCACATCCCTGGTGAAACCTCACCCCTTACTAGCTGTTCCCTCGGAAGCATAGTGTTCACCAATCAATTAATAGGACAAGCAGTTGAAAGCCTTAGACCTTCTACTAGCACGTGACAAGATGGCCTTGCTTCAATAATTTTCAAAAGCAGTGGGTATGATATACCCCTACTACTTCTTAAATTCTTCTTAATATCTATGGGCACTTGCACTTACCCTAATGAGTGGAAAACTAGCTTCATAATTCCACACTACAAATCTGGTGATAAGGCAAAGTTCTCAACTACAGACCAGTAAATATAATCCCGGTTATCTCGCGAATCATGGAGAAAGTTGTTGAAGATGGTCTGATACCATCTACTTAGGGAAGATCTTGTTACAAGGTCTCAACATGGATTTCTCAAAAAAAGGTCCTGTGTTACTTGCCACTTCGACTTTTCAACTGCATCACTAGTGGTAGCGAAACACGTAAGCTAGTCGTTGTTCTCTACTTCGATATATCTAGGGCATTTGAAATGGCATCTGACAGTATTTTCTTCGAGAATCTATACTCACGTGGGATTCGCAATCCATTACTGAACTGGTTAAAATCGTTTCTAAGCATCAGGGTGCAAATAAAGAAAGCCGGGTATGTATCGTCTCATCCTAGGAGGATCACAACTGGGGTTGTGTAAGGTAGTGTCCTAGGGCCGCCTTTGCTTACAGTCTAC